CCATATACCATCACTGACCTAGAAAGTTTGAATTACAAGGAGAGGCTGGATAGGCTGGCACTTTTTTCACTGGAGCATAAGGATTTGAGAGGTGACCTTATAGAGGTTTATAAAATCATGAGGGATATGGATAAAGTGAATGGCAGGTGTCTTTTCTGTAGCTGGAGGATTTCAAGTTCGAGGGGGCATATTTTTAAGGTGAAATGAGAAAGATTTAAAAAAGACATGAGGGGCAGTTTTCTTCAACAAAGAATGGTTTGTGTGTGGAGTGAACTTCCAGAGGAAGTGGTGGATGGGGTACAGTTACAACATTTAAAAGACGTTTAAAATGATCACCAACAGTCTGTCCTGGTCTTCTCATGTCAGCATAATGGTCAAGAAAGCACAACAAAATCTCTACTTCCCAGGAGGCTAAGGAAATTTGGCATGTCCACAAGGACTCTTACCACTTTTTACAGAGGCACGATAGAAAGCATTCTATCTGGGTGCATCACAGCAACTGCTCTTCCCAAAACTGTAAGAAACTACAGAGAGTTGTGAACATAGTCCAGTCCGTCACGTAAAGCAGCCTTCCATTCATTGACTCCATTTGTACTTCCTGCTGCCTCAGAAAAGCAGCCAACATAATGTAACACCCTTTCCACCCTGCTTATACACTATTCCAGCACCCTCCTCCATCAGGCACAAGATATAAAAGTCTGTATGCACATACGAATGTATTCAAGAACAGCTTCCACGCTAGATTAGACTTCTGAATGGACCTCTCAAATTTTAAATTTAATGTTGGTCTCATTCTCTGTGCACTTTCTATGCAGCCATAACATTGTATTGTTCGTCTGTCTTTTACCCTAATGCACTTGTATGGTATGATATCCCCGTGCTGCATGCAAAACAAAACTTTTCACTGTACCTACATTCATGTACAATAATAAATCGAATCAAGTCAAAGACATTTAGATAAGTACATAAATAAGTAATCGCTGGAGGTTTACGGGCCAAATTTAAGTAGGTGGGACTAATTTAGTTTGGGATTATGGTTGGACCGAAGGGTCTGTTTCCATTCTCTTTGACTCTATGACTCTATCACCCATGAGTTGACTGGGGACTGTGGAGATCCATGACAAGCTTATCTTTGTGCCCATGCTAAACGGCAAGACATGACAGAGTTAATATAAGACTGGGATGTCTAGCTAAGGTGGCAAAGAACAAAGTGGGTGCTAAAGCAGGGATGCTGTGAGTATCTAGCTAGCCTGAGAGTGAGCGAGTGGTATGACAGTCAGTGAAGATCCCAGACATTTAGCCTGGTCCAGTGCATGAGCTGGATGTGTGTCCCTGAGCACACAGTGTCGTCACTGCGGTATTACAGTGATAGTTACTGGTGTAACCCAAGGTGCAGCAATGAAGTGCAAAGACGTCCTGTAATTGAATCGAAGATAAATCATGAAGGTTCTTAGAGGCTGGCACATATTGGATACCGATGTCTATGGATGAGGGGTGCGTGTGGCTGATGCCCATGGAGATTGCCTAGAGATGTTAGTGCCCAGTGGATGCCATTTCGAGCAAGTGGCGAGCTGAATTTGCCAGGTATCCACTCTGGTTTTCAAATGATGTTTTCTCAAAATTTGCTTTGATTGGCACGTTTGGTAAGATAGGATTTGGATATTAATGAGGCAAGTTGTGATATTAATAGGTTATTTCATAAATGATAAACCATTTAAATGGCAACTCACTGCTGTTTAGTCAGAAAGTGGCCCTACCACTTGTCAAAAGCACAGCCCACATTACTCAGATTCTGATGAGATCTGATTCACATGGAGAATGAGGAGATGGCACAGACATTGAACAAATACCTTGTGTCTGCCTTTGCAGTTGAAAACACAAGTTGTACACCAAAAAGAGAGGGTAACTTAGGTGCCAAAAAGAATGAAGAAATAGCAGTAGAGAAAACGAACAGAAGTAGCTTAAGGGGCTAGAGTCTGACAAATCCCAAAGGTGTCATTTCTTAATCCTAGAGTTGCAAAAAGAGATAGCAGGTGGAATTTTACCAGAAATCAACTCAGAGTCATTTTCATCAGTTTCTTGGAGGTTTCCATTCCTAGAACGTTCTCTCACGTGATCATCCCAAACCCACCTCTGTAACTAGGTGCGATGCTAGCTGTATTTCCCACTCACCATAAACGAGGTTGCCACTCAGGTCAGTACAGCCTCCATGGTCCAGAGAAAGACTAACAGTGCCAAAAGAAGATCTATGCCTTCCAACTACACAATACCCAGTTTAGCAAGGCCTATTCTCTTGTTGGTTCCTCAAAGTGTTGATCCAGAAAACTACACAGCACACACTTCATTGGGGAGACAATGGCCTGAGGTTGTTATCACTGGACTGTTAATCCAGAGACCCAGTTAGTATTTTGGGGACTTGTGTTTGAATCCCATTGCAGCAGATGGTGGAATTTGAATTCAATACAAATCTGGAATTAAGGGTCTAATGATGAGCATGAATCCATTGTCCTTTAAGGGAAGTAAGCTGCCATCCTTGCTTACATGTAACTCCAGACCAATAGCAATGTGGTTGACTCTTAACTGCTCTCTGGACATTTAGAAATGGGTCATAAATGCTAGCCTAGCCAGTGGTGCCATCATCCCGTGAATGAATTAAAAAAGTAGTTCAGGAATTCCTCCTGTATGGAATGATAACTGATTTGTTTTGCCCAATCTTTATGCAGACTGAAGTCACCTGACTCTTGAAGTCAGTGACCTTTCATCATAATTAGAGCTATACCTTTCTGCTGGTGTCTTCAATTTCCTGTTTAGTGCCTTCTGCTAAAATTACTACTAGAGTTGACTGGGGTGTATATACATCGACCACTGTCAATTTCCGACCCTTGGTGTTTCTAAACTGTACCCAGACTCCATTTCACCAAAACTAATATTCATTTTCATTACCATATTAATTTTACTCTATAACCAGCAACGCTAACCCACTTCCTTCTTCTTGTCAGTCCTTCCAAGAAACTGAATACCCCTGGATCCCAGCTTCAGACATCGTAGATGTCTTGGTTTCTGATTTACCAAAACACTCTGGATTCTGGAAAAGTCTGAGTGAAGTGGAAATTAGCAGTCGTAACACTGCTATTTAAGAAAGAAGGAGGAGCGAAAATAAGTAATAATGCCAGTTAGCATGACTTCAATCAGTTGGGAAAGCGCTTAATAAAGTCCCTTCATTAAGTATGTTTCAGCAATGCACTTAAAAAAAAACATCGTATCATCTGATTAACTCAACATGGTCAATCCAGAAGAAGACATTCCATGATGGAGGCGGGATAGTTGCAGGTAAGTCCAAGGTCGCCCTGGGGCCAGGCATGTTTGACAAATTTATTCCTTTTTGATATCTAACTAGTGAGGTAGGAAAGAGGAGACCAACAGCTGCATAACATCTAGACTCCCAAGAGGCATTTTGTAAGGTGTCACACTGATGTCTAATAGATAAGAAAAGGGCTCTGGAACTGAAGGTAATGTATGAACATGAATAGAGAGTTGGTTAACATGCAGGACGTAACACTAAGTATTGTTGCGACTATGACTAGAGGAGTGCAAAGGATTCAAAGGTCAATGTGAAGGTTGAATTAATCTCAGGGATGTCTTTAAGGGACTTTCAGGACAGATGTGACCATCCATTCTCTTGACAGCTGACCAGCCAGCTTGACCACCAAACAAATTAATAGACGTATTGGTCACATGTGGGCAGGCCTTCTGGTGCCTTCACCCCAATGGGCAATATTCCAGGAAGGCTGTTAAGGGAAGTAGGTGGAGATGGGGAACTGCATCCATGACATGATACCCACCTTTATGAACAAAGCCTTCCCACATGACAACCACGTACACAGAGATGAAGTGGAAAACAGCAGTTAACTGCTCGAACAGGTTTTGTGTTCTTTCTCGGGAAGGTTTTCTTTTAAAAAAGAATAAGTCCAGTGATTTCACAATGGGTTGACTATGATGTCATAAACACAAACAACAATGAACAATAGCTGCTGTGTGTCTTCATTTCATGTTGAGACAACATGAAGTGAACATTGTAGACTTTTAGCTGTGCAGTTTCAAGTGCGCATCGCTTTTTTTTTCTCTCCCTCATCAGTGCAATTAGAACTAACACTAGTTGAAGCAGAGAGAAAGGAGCAATACCTTCGTGGTATCACTCTTGGTTGTGAGAAGAGTTTGGAGGTAATTTGAAATCAATTTGTACTGGACAGTATTTGTAAAGAAATTGGATTTTAGTACAAATTTCAAAGACAGGAAAACTGGAAAAATGATGTGAATACGGGGTAACCCGATTGAATTAATGCGTATATGTTGAGGTTCGCAATGGTTCCAGTACTTGCCAAAACCAAAATTATATTGGCCACATTTTTGTGTCTACTCTTTGGAGCAAAATGTTTCTTCCGGTCTTTGCTGAAGGTGATATCAGCAGGGAAAAATGTTCATCTCGGATGACCATAAGATCCCATTATCACAACAATTCGGAAAAAAAAATGGAATTCTCCCGTATACATCATCTACTATTTATCCCTCAATGAATGTTGTTTCAATGGAGAAACTAGTCATTACCAATTGTTATTCATGAAAACATGCTGTCTGCATGTTATCCAGTGCCTTTCCTACATTACAGCAGCCAAAAAGTAGTATTTAGATGTAAAAGACCCTTTGGGAAATCGTTCCAGATGTTCAAGGTGGTGGATTACAGCAAAGCTTTGTTGAGTTTCATTTTGACCTGAAGTATCTGAAGGGTGATGTCCTGGCTGCTCAGCTGACAAGTTAAAGTTTTAAGTTGTCGAAGGAAGACCAAGTAGACAGTGAAGGGGCAAATGAATATTAGACATATGTAATGAGACTGAAGTCAGCAGTTGATATTTTTTGGTCCAGTATTTAAGTTTGATCGTACTCTTTCTCTTTTCATGTTGAATTTGGCTTTCACTTTTATGGTGTTTTCTTTTGTCTTTTAGGTTTGACGATACTTCATATTTCTCAATCCACGGACTCCAACCCACTTTGATTCTGAAAGGTATGAGTTATCGTTAATTTTTCACAAAGCATAAGCTTCAATCCAGTTCCTCGTCTCCCTACGTTCAGTCAGGCATTGACTCACTTATTCTAGACCTTGCATGGAACTTTGCCTGCTCCTTTGTTCTATTTGCTCATACTCATCTCTGACATATCTGTCAAGATAAAAACACCAGCGGTCCATGACACCTGTGAAAAGTAGTAGTTGTTGACCTTGCATCAATGGCAGCAGCCTGACCCTAGAGTCAGACAGTTCTTAGTTGTAATAACACTGAGCACAATGAGGACTGATGTGGCAACCCCTTTGAGCGTCCTTGACAGATAGTGTGAGCAAAAGTGACCAGACATCAAACTGATCTCCGTACAGTTTCCTAGCTGTTTTCTCCCCACTCCCCACACTGGGTTCAGTCTCCCACTGGGCTGACTGTGACCCACTCACAGTACTGCAGCGGTATGGACTCTGAGAACATGACTGCCTCGGGTGTCCAAGTGGCAGTGCCCATTACCCTGGATTAGTGTCAGGGACTGCTCTTGGCTAACCTATCCTGAATCAAGGTTGCCTCCCTTGCGTCGACTGTGGATTTCTTCCTTTAGAGTTTGAGACAGTTCTTCCAGGATGTGCGAGGTGTTTTTTTAGGTGAAAGCTTTGTTCAGTTTTATTTTGAGTGACCTGAAGTATCTCAAGGCTGAAGTCCTAGTTTTAATAACTAGCATTTCAAACTTTTACTTATTTGAGGAAGAGCAGGATGATATTAAAACAACAAGCAAATCATAGATAG